TKSARRAAAAAAAATATTCAAGACACATAGTTTTCATCATCAAAATATTGGATTTTAATTTAATTTATTCTTAATTATCAATGAGAAATAAAATCGCCATTTCAGTCAATACAGAAYTGAGACATAAATTCGTTTGTGATTTTAAATTTTCCCCTGATTTTCCGCACACCATTTAATTGTATGATAATAATATGAGATACAATTTTTTTTTTTGTATATTATAGGTATCGGCTGGCTGCTAGGTATTATTTAGTAGTTAAGCACTTAAACCTATGTATATTATGCGTGTAAATAAAATGAGTATAGATAGGTATAAGTACTTACTTTTTTTTTATATACCTATTAATTTAGAACTTACTTTGTTAAACATTTTTTTATGCCATCCTCTAGGTAAAACCCTCAAATTTGGTAAAGACCTCGTAAATCTGCGGACAATTTGCCTTCGGGTATGTGTAATAAACGTCCGCTTAATAGAAAATTCCTCATTGACCATTATATTAGTAATTAACTTTCGAAAATTTTACACAATTCTTACTTAAATCCGCTTGTCAGAAAAGAAATTTAAACCATCATAAATAATTAAGAGAAAAAAAAACCAAATATTATGTTTCAAATTTTCGTATTCGTCTGCCTAAATAAAATTTTAAAAAATAAGCATAGAACTTATGTATATTTGTAATACATATTACTCTATAGTACACCACACGATTCAGCTTTATTATAGTATTATTGTATATAGCTCCTTAGAAATGCCTTGACCAATGCACAAAGCCATATTAATATGCCCTCCTTAACTATTTTGACCTCAGTCGAATTATTAAACGTTTTAAAACTTTTAAATCAAAATGTATGGCGCAGAAAAATATATGAATCTACTAATATATTAGATCACTGTACTGAATTAGTCCGATTTAAAATACATAACATTAAATGGCGTGTGGTTTTAATGAGTTACTCATGTACACTATACAATATTATTATATTTTAAATAATTTTCTAAACACTTATATCCTTTAATATTAGAGGTACCTACTAAATAAATGTTGTCTTAATTAAGCAGGTATATATATAGTAGTTAATTAAAAATTTGAATAGTATTTTTATAAAACTCAAAAAACTCAAAAAGACGTTCCATGATGGCATCATCATGCATTGATGATGATGATGATGATGATGATGATGCCTCTGAAAAAAATGGAAATTAAACACGAATCGATTTTTAATACATAGTTGATTTCTTGAATAAACATTGATAATATTAAGATATCATTAAATTTATAATATTATAGGAATCTTCCTACTGAAATCTAGGTAGACTTTACCTACATAGTCAATCGGTCGCAATAATAATAAACATTTTATATACCTAACTAACGAATCTTATAAACAAACTGTAAATTGTAAATAATACTAWTCACTTAACTCCTAATTATTACTACTTTGTCTTGTTTTAAATACTAAATTACTTTGTATATCTTTTTAAATATTAATGTAATATGTAAATATACTAATAGATAATGTACTGTTACATCCAATG